TAATAATAATAATAATAATAATAATAATAATAATAATAATAATAATATATATAAAATCAATACCTAATATATATATATATACCTAATATATATAAAATCAATACCTAACAGAAAAATTGTAATGAAACTAGCCTGTAAAGCTCCAGGACTCGAATCTCTGAAATATACATATACATGTCTACACAGAAGTCTTGACATCTTCTCTGGCAGCCTCCTCTAAGTGCTACCACTATTGAAATGTGGCTACTCCCTCACAGGACCAAATTCCTTAGAATTGGAAGGACCAAGGACTCATTGATAAACTTTCTAAGGTTGAATTTGATCTTGCTGCTTCCATTCAGGAAGATCTCCCTATTGCCAGCTTCCTTCTTCGAGGTGAGTGCCTTCCTAGCCAGTTACCAGAGCTGACAGGGAGCCCTTCTGAACAAACAGTAACTCTGCTTTCCTAAGATTCAACCTCAGCCAAACCATAACAGTCTCTTGCTAAATAATCATCATCAACTCACTGAAACACTCTGTCTTCATCTCCCAAATTTTGCAGGGGGTATAGAATTGTATAATGGTTGATGGTACTGCCTGCTGCCTGCTGCTGAGAGGTCAGATAAGACCAGAAAAAGTATGCTCTTCAAATCGAAGTCACAAAAAGGTAATTGAATGGAACAACAAATGATATTTCCATCCTATTATTGGTTGAACCAGGCCGAAACCGGTAGAATACCACCACTGATCACCACCCCCAAAGAAATGCTGACCACCCCCAGATCCAGCTCATAAAGATCCCCTGACCACCTGAAGAAGCGAGAAGGGGCATGTCACAATCACGAAAATAATGGGGCCATGCATCCTATCACTTAATCAGTGCACAGGGTGAGAGATTAGTCTGAGGAATTGCAGCTAACCCCATGTTCCTAATGGGTTTTAGGTAGATTCTGTTTTCTGTAGAAAATAATCTGTAGTGCCATTTTAACTTGCTGCATTTGTTAAATTTTAGAAGTTATCAGGAAAAGGTCTGATTTATTTGAAATATTTACCACTATTTGTTC